AGAAGAAGAAGAAGAAGAAGAAGAAGAAGAAGGAGGAGAAGGAGGAGAAGAAGGAGAAGAAGAAGGAGGAGAAGAAGGAGAAGAAGAAGGAGAAGAAAATGAAAAGACCTTTCTTCACTTTCGGTTTTAGCTGGTGGAATTGCATTCTCATTTTAAATTTGATAAGCTACTAAGTTGTGGTAAATTTTCCTCTTCAATTTACATCCCGTCACATTACGCGGGATACACAACTAGTATATATATATATATATATATATATAAAACTTAAAAGACTTTTATCCAATTTACCTTAAATACCCCAAATAAGGCTCACGAAAAAACGTAGTTTATTTTGTCTAATCTTGAAATTGTATGTTAGTTATTTGATGTTTGAGTTTCTATTTACTTTTATATAGTAACATAAGATGTTGTTTGTAATTGATTTGATTATGTTTGAGACATTTAGATTTACATATTTAAAAAATTATAATTTATTTTTTAATTGTAAAAATTAACGTATTGTAATTTCTTTCAAATCGGTTCACGTTTTGGGTTCAGGTATAACTAACGGTGAACGAGAAACCAACGAAAAAAAAAGATTTTTACACTTAACAGGCTCCCCAACAGAAATTGGAGAAACCGCAGGGATCCAATGCAGACAATTTTTTAATATTGATTTCAGAAACGAAAATACGAATAATAGGCCCAAACCCGATCGGTTGTCATTCCTATTTAAAACATGAATAAGAAAATGGTTTTTTAGTGAAACAATTCAAACTATAATAATTACTTCCAATTGAAGAAGAAATTGGAAGCAGAGCCATGGAATGGAGTAACCAAAAGGTCAGCTATCCCTTGATTGTATCTCCATTCTCCACCAGTCCACTTTCACAAATATATTTCCGAAAACACCATTTAAATCCAATGCCAAAATCCCCCACCTTCTTGATTCCAAAAATCACGTCGCTTTCTGGGTTCTACAACGAAACAATATATATGCTTCCAATCGAGTCCGGTCACGAGATGAATTTCTTCCAACCCATGTGTATTTGCTGTTTCTCTCTCTGTTTTTAGAGCGAGAGTGCAGCTGAGCAACAGATTAGAGGCATTGAGCGAGTGAGAGAGAGGAGATGCTCCTCTTGCACTGCTTTCAACCATGGATATCTCCAAGAATTCCAAAATTTCCAAGGATTTCTCGTTCCAAGAGGTGAGACATTATTAATTTGAATTCATAATCTTGATTGGTTTTTAGTACCCCATCACTGATCATACTACGATGTGGGCGCGTTTCGGCGTCATGTAGCAATATCTGTCAATAAAATCTATGCTTATATCAATTGTAATCTGAGCGTGCTTGTCAACAATATCTATGCTAACTTCAATGAGGGTGTCTTGATATCGTAATTTGTCCGTGTAAAACTTCATGAACAGGCCGTGGATAGGAGATAATTCTGAATTAGAGAGTGCACTTTAACAAGCAAGTGGTGTGCAGAAGTAAGCTTTTGAATCTTGGATTTTTGGGCCCTTTTAAGCAAGAATTACATCCCTTTTCATAAAGTAGTTTTTCCTTTTTTTTTATTTTATTTTCAATTATTATTAAACGGATACAGTTCTTCACTTTATCTTGGTAAATGGTAAGTTTCTTCTCATCATCAACTTAGGTGATCAAATTAGTAATAGTTTTCATTTCATCTATTTTAGTCATGATATTTTAAATTAAAATCGATTTCGATTACAAATTCTGTCAAGCCACAACCTTTAAGATGTTTCATGTCAAAATGAATTTTAAGTTATAGAATAATACCCATCAAGGAAGAAGTGGGATTTCTTAATGATACATAAAATGAGAGGTTGAGTTACTGGTGCAACGATGATGCATACATGGATCATCTTAAAACTAATTCGACTAGTGTGGTTCGGAATTTCATGATATTAAGGTGTTTTATTTACCATTTTATTCATATATCTGAGATGATGTTGCAAAAAAGATGTGACCAGCTTCGGATCTTCATTACCAATAAAACATGTTATATTTGTCTAGATATTGATTATACAGTCCCATGGTTTACCTAGTGGCACAGTTATAAGCTTTTTAACCCAAGTATCAACCATCAAGACAGTAAGCCAAACCACAAGGGTTGTGGCGTATTGGTTGAGGCCCAAGGGGATGTGGTGGAATATCCATCTGCGCTAGGTTCAATGCCAGGCGTCCATAACAAGTAGCCACTAAGTTTATCAGGGCCTGCTGATGTCTTTGCAATTTGCCAGGATTAGTCTGGGCTATGCCCAGGAGACCCTTCAAAAAAAGTCTTATGGAATTGCTTCCTTTTAGGGAACAAACAAGAAGAAATAAGAGGGTCAGTTTTCATGAGTTGGAAATACCGAGCTCCATGGAAAGTGTGTACAGATTTCCAGCTCAGATTTTATCAGGTTCCCTTAATGTGTATAGTTGAATGATTTTGAAGAGGTCTAGGACATCATCATTGTCATACCGTCACTTAGTACAAACATCACTTATGCAGAAGAGACTGTAAATGTACTTCTGTATGATGCTGCATGTAGATAGTAAATGGTGTGCCCATCCTCCCATATTGAATCTAATCACTTCCATTAGGTCTGGTTTGGTTTGCGGGATTGGATTGGATTGGATTTGGAGCGATTTGGAATTGAATTCCATTCCAATCTCATGTTTGGTTTGAAGGATTTCCCAGATTTGAAATCCCGGGATTTAATTGAAATCCTACAAACATAGGATTTTGAAATCCCATGGAGGCGCTGATATTTCACGGGATTTCGTAGGATTTGTATGTAATAATCTTTTAAAATATGTTAAAAACATTTGTATTGTATAATCAATTAATAAAAAGTTAATTTCATTATATTTATAATTTGTTTTTATAAAAAATGGAATTCAATTCCTCCAAATCCTACAAACCAAACACACCAAAGATTTCAAATCCTTCCAAATTCAAATCCCTCCATTTCCAAATCCTTCCATGAAATCCAAATCCCTCAAAATCATTCCATCAAACCAAACTCCCCCTTAGGATATTAACTTATAATACCTTTTGATTAATAAGCTACAAATATGGATCTTCTTTGGACATTGTGCTATGCTATATAATAACATGGACACGCTTTCATCATTTATAAGTTTATACCTAAAAAGTTGGCTAGATAATCATTAAAATTCGTCTATATAGAATAAAAATACAGAATTACGATATTTTGATCTATTTTATGTTACCGACAAAAGTAGCATTGAAATAGTCGTACAAGTGGCTATTGCGGATTTCATTGTTGTTGATGTTGTTCAGGAAGAAATCGGTATCATCCAGTAACAGATTTTGAAAATTGTATTTATTTTTCAATACATTATAATCGACTCATAGCAGTGAATATCAAGTCTGTTTGAATTCAAATACTGCTTAAATAATGGATCCAAATAAATGGATGAATAATAACCAATTTCTGCTTCTTTTACCGTTGGGATTTTCAACTGGAAGCCGACACACAAGGTCCCAAACTAGGTCAAATGTGTGCAAACCACCCAACAACCGAAAATGTAAACAAAACGTATCAACGAGCAATATACAAGGTGTCAAGCCAATAATAACAAGTACCGAAGCAATAATGTAACAACCCAAAGCATAAAACGAGGCTCCATGGCCTTACAAACTTCTTCGTCCATCCAATGAAGCCTAGATGTATTATTGCTTAGATAAGTAGATAGGTTACAACTAAAAGCTTACACTAAAGACTACAAAGGACATTTAGAGAGGGGAAGATCGCCTTGTTGTTTGCTCTTAACTGTATCTGACCTCCCACCATCAAATGAGACCAAAATCAAAAATTTATCTCATCAGCAGGCCTACACGACCTCCTACTTGACCTGAGGTCGTGTTCACTGCTTGCCCGTGTCCCTGATTACACTACAGCGATAAGCAGGCCGCCCAGCTGGGTGAATCTAAGTTCTCTTCTGGTCAACAGTCGATAATCAGATGCTAGGTGGCCACCTCTAATGGCCCCCTTGCGAAAACTGTACCGAAGCTCCCAGGGCCGTACGCCATCTCCTCAAAGCGATTCCAGATTACGTTCTTTGCTCAAGTAGCCTTCCCGTGTGTGGTGAGTATCACTAAATTGAACATTAAAAAACTAACCAATTACAGACATGACAGCTAAAGTTTATATCATTTTTTAGAATGTTGAATCAAAATCTATCTGAGTACAAAAATAGAAACATATACTGTATAGTATTTTACTTAAAAGTAAATAAGTCTGCAATTTTTATAGCACTCAAGTTGTCAACTAATTGTGTTTCTTTTTAACAAAAATTTTGGAATTCTAAAATGTAGTCGATCTCAATTTCTCTTAGAATTTCCAAATTTTGTAAATGAGTGTACTGTTGTATATAACATTCGCAATTGGGATCTCGTTGAACATGAGCTCGAAGCTCATAAAATCTCATTTAAGCATGAGCTTGAAGCATGCAAAGTAAACACAAGGTTTCAAGTTGTAATCATGCATAAAATGCTATTTTGATATCATTATATACTGGTTTGGACTTTGGATGCATCAACTTAATATTGGAAATTTGCAAACCAAACCAAACAAGTATATCCCACTCGGAGATGGGATGATGCTAACCTGACATGTAGTCCAAAGAGTAGAACGCTATTTCCATAAAGACCCCCGACTTTCGTGAATATTGGAAATTTAGTTTATGTTGGTGCAATTTTCTCAACTTTAGCATTACAACTTACAACAATAATGTTGTATTTCTTGCATTGTGAGCGAAGTTTTATCATATGATGTTTTTAGGGAATCAAGCGCTATTGCATGTTGCTGGATCAATTCTCCCGCTTCACATGCAAATGATATCTTCAAGAATTATCGAGGTGAGTCTTTAAGTAACTTATGTTATAAAATTTTCATAATTACGTTAGTATGATCCTTTGAGAAAGCTCTTTTTTTAGTTATAGAATTATAGCCTTTTGTTTTTGGTACGGGAATTGATCTCAAGGGTAACATGATAGCATGAGTATGACAGTGTCTTCTTTTACCATTTCCATTTTCTTCTTTTTTTACAGTCATTGTCAACTACTTTGATCTAGGTCTTGGGCTTACTTCAAATGAATATACTTGATTCTGATACATTATACGAAATTCAGTGCAATACACTGTCAAGTTGGATCTAAATGTCACATCTGTAGAGATTAGTGTATTAATAGCATGAATCTTCCTCGTGTTAAAAAAATAATTAAGTTACTCATGATGATAGTCATACATTTTTTTCTTCCATTTCCTTCATTTGACAGAGAAGCCAGATGTCAATTCAATAAAAGCATCATATAAGATGGGATCCATGATGAAATTGCACATCATCAAAAATTTCGAGTCGCAGCTCTTGAAATTGAAGCTTGATTATCCTCAGGTGTGCACTATTTGAGAGGCATCCATAATGCAAATCCCATGATCGACTTTCCTCTTAGATATGTATTGTTATTTTCAAAGAATGATAGTTTGTTCTCCTCCCAAATCCAACAAGCAAGGAGCATGTTCTACGGATACTGGATACATGAATAGGGTAAACTGTACTGTTATACCTTCATGGAGATATATCTTTCTTATCCAATTTCTACCCTAAGCAGCCATTGTCGGTACCATCAGCTGGTTGATAATGTCGCCTGATATAGTTGATTTGGTAGGAAATAGATACCCATAGTTTATAGTCTAGGTTGTAACATACTCATAACTACTAAGATATTTGATTAGAATTTGCAGTAAAGATCCATTTGAACGGATGAATTAATTCTGCAGGAGCATCAAACAAAGATCATGATGGCTGCATTGGTATCTTGCTTGCTTGTCAGATTGATACACCAAGATCATGGGAAAGTAGCAACTGTTGCTCTACAACAGTTACTTTCCTCTGTAATTCAATCATTTGCAGCTACGGGTTTGCCTTTTGCATGCATGTCTAATTCTCTGAATAAACCCACACCTCTGCAATTGGATGTATCTTTGCCCTCATGGCATGACATCAAATGGAACTTTTCGCGCCTGGCATACTTATTCGACATACAACTTGAGAGAAATGTGTCTACGTAAGTTGAACAAATATGTGCTTCCTAAATAATTGTTCTACTCGTATATTTATAATTTATGCCATGATAAAGCTGTCTTAGTCTGATATATTTGATATCATGTGATAAAATGATGTTTGGATATTTTCTCCTTATAGTTAAGATATTCTCTATAGTTTGTTCCACTTGACAATTAAGATTCCTTGGCTATCACAATATATCTTATGATCAATATTCTTTGCTCTCCGATTTCTGTTCATCTGCCTACTTGTCGGGATATAAGATAACATGCCTATATCAATTGAAAATAGGGATAAAAATTGTGACTAGTAAACATAGTTTGCAAAAACTAAATACAAAGATTTAACATGAAAACCCAAAACTGGTAAGAGTGAAAAATTGTAGAATAAACTCCTAATATTCATTTAAGTATAAATAGTATATAACAATTTCCCATGTTTTGACATGATGTTTGGGACACTTACTTTGGGAGAATACAATATGTTCTTATTTCGGACTTGCTAGATGAAAAAACCCCCTTTATTTTCCAAACCCCGGTGTGGTAGAGAAAAAATGACCTATACTGCTCACTGAGGAACATCAGTTAAGCTGTTAAAGATATACTCAAAGTACATCTCACTCCTATCTTAACGCTTAATTGATGATTCCAAATGAATATTTCTACCGCTATGCATATACTAACCAATTTTTCTCTCATTTATGACTAGCCTACTTTCCTATTTCTATTTTTTTCTTTTATCGTCTAGACATGCAGGCATTATATTTCTTTTTATATAATTGTTAATTTTTCATTACTTTCCTCTACCCACTTGGGGAGGAGTTTTTGATTCAGCAAAATTCCTTTTGAGAGCATATTGGAGAAACAGGTAGTTTGCACTGGGAACTCATACCCATGGAGTTTTTGTGAAACTCAACGTCTCTTAAAGAATGATGTTTATGAGCATGTCTATAGGGTACTTATATGTGTGGACTTTATTCTGTTAAGATGCACTCAAACCTKGTTCAGATGCTATCTGGCATTCATCTTGTTCACACATAGTATCATCTCTGGGAAAATAGTTTTTTACTCTTTTGTAGTGGAACGGTTTTTGGGGTTTGTCCCTGTTTTGACCCTCTGTTAGGGGGTTTCTACATCAAATTTTGCTGTATGAATTTTGATAACTATGTTTCGTGGTGATTTATATTTTACTCAGACAAAAGGGGTATTGACTGTCATAAATCCCAACATCATCATAGAGAAGACATCTCTTCTATAGACTACCAAAAGATTGAAGTCACAGCCTTTATTTTTTCATTTTCTATTTCATTTGTTGGTTATCTTTGTTTCCATATTTAATGAAATAACCTCTTTATTATGTCCGTGGAAGTTCATCCATATAGCTGATCAGAATAAGTTGTTTAAACACCTTGACTTCACATGTTACTGAATTTCTCCTCTATGTTCAATGTACAAGATATCCCCCTTCCTTTTTATAACAGAAACCTTTGTTGCGGTTCGCATACTTTTCGTATACAACACATGTAATTGAAATCTAATAATGTTCTTGGAGTTCCATGTGCAACTAAAATTTTGTTAGGTAGAGAACACTATTGTCTGTTGTCATTCACATAAATCCTCGTTATGATCTTCAGAAGGAGAGATCAGGAAGTGAAGTCATCGATGATTAATTCATTATGCTTGAGAAATTCAAATATACAGAACAGCCACCTTAAATGCTAAAGTAGTGGTTTTATGGTCTCTTTATAGGATCTCACATGGGCTTATATGTGAATGGTTGACACGTCTGTGTATTCAGATATTTTACTCATTTAGAAACAATCTGCCATTGGCGTGTAGCACCTTCAAATCTGGAAAAGCGACTAAATAGAAATTTTCTATAATACATCAAACAAAGGGATAAATCTCTTTCTATAAATCAATACTTGAATTACCTCAAATAATAAAACTAGATTTAATCATTAACAATATATAAACTAAGCCTTACGTAAGGACTTGGTCAAGGTCGGATGTTACTAAAACCCAATAACAGTCGCTGTCTCCACATGCGGAAAAGTCATCGATTAGCTAGACCCTTCTCGTGCCTCTAATTAGCCCTCAATTCAACACAATGTCTCAAGTACCATTCCTCAAGGACCTGATGCACATGCCGACAAAGAAAAAGGTTAGGCTTAACGCGTAGTGAGTTTAAGCAGTTTTCATCTTAAATATAAAAATGGTAAAACTAAGATGTATTTAAATCATAATTTCCAAAATGAAATATATTTAGTATAAAAGCACATTCTTTCCAAAACCCACCATTGTTGTGATGAAAACTCATTTATCAAAAACGTTCCTTTATTCATGGAACCAAAGTCCAATACTCACCCAAAAGTGAATGAGATTAAATGTCCAAAAACATAAACAAGGTTCGATACTCAAACCATAAATAATGAAAAATACTCCACACTCAACAAGTCACTAATAACATGGATAAATCTCGATACCCAAAACAACACCTTTTGATGACAGGAAAACCCGTTTTCCATGGTTAGTGGTGGAACACAAAAGTAGGCCACCATTCCACATTATAGAGCTCATCTTAAGGATCAACGACCCCAATGGGATCAATTGTTCGCGGGTCATAGTTCAAGGCTCCCAATGATCCCAGGTACACTCATTCACTAGAAATTACATCATGTGGCTAATGGCTAGTATCCGGCTCCCCTAAGACTGTACCAAGTTGCCCCCGATGACCCAATACCTATTTCTAGCTACAATACGAGAATAACCATTCCATTAAATTGACTCAGAAATTACACCATGGGGTCAATGAGATCTCAATCAAGCCTAGAGATGTACCAAAAGTAACCCCAAAATCAGATCCATACAATCCTTAGCCAAAATCTCAAATCACCCAAAACACCCAAAATGATAAAAAAGCTCAATATAATGGAGATACACCAAAAGGGATGTTGTAGGAGGTTAAAATGAAAGCTTTTAACAAGAATATGGGTTTAGAAAGATTAGGATGACTTACATTTCATGTAAAATATGTTGGTTTCAAATTTAAGACAATTTTTAACAATAATCTTTTGTCGTTCCAAAATACTAGCTAAAATATAATAAAGAAAACTCCGGTTGAAATATATATGCAAATTATACACGACAAAATAGTCTCCAAAAAAACCCAAAGGAGAACTATACAACTGGACGCCATCAAAATCTTAAGATTAGTTCAACAAATTTGCATAGGACAAAATTCTCAATAAAGCCTTATACACAAACACTCACAATAAAGCTAACTTGTGCAATTCAAGGTTACACCCCTGAGCCACAAAATGTTACAAAATGAAATTCCAACAAAATCGTATGCAAGACATATGCAATGAAGTTGCTTCATGCATTTCAAACTTGACCCAATTTTACCATGTGTCAAAATACAAATCAAAATGTGCAACTTATCAAGCATGTGTATTTTGAGTGAAACATGAAATAATTCATGTATGTTTCAATTTTAAAACTTCTCCAAAGTACACCTTCGACAGTTTATGGTACCAACAAAATCAATCATGGAGAAAACTTCCAATAAAAGTTCGTACGCAAAATATAAGCAACAAATCGATCCATGAATTTTAAAACATGGGCTACACTCTTGGGTAAGCCAAAACATTTTCCAAAATTTATAACATGACAAGTCCAAAAGTTTTGACAAGCATGAAATAATTCATTTAATTTATTTTAAATAAATGTTGTGCATGCATTTGGTCGCGATCCAAAGTCTTAGAGCCACGCTCGCTAGGTCCACTAGTTACACTACCGACATCCGAATGCCCAAACATCTTGAGTCAAAAATCGGTAACTGAATCTATCAACCTTACCAATTCTTCTCTAAACAATGCTGATTTGATAAGCCTACGATTCAAATTTATCTAATAACTATGACCTATGCTGATCATCTTAACGAAATCTCTATACTTGACTGTCACCCAAGTGACACTGCTACAAACACCTTATGATGACTATTCACCGAGAGTTCGTTCTCTACCCCATCGATCATCACAGAGAAGGCAATTCAAGCGCACACACGTAACAGTAAGTTCATAATAACACTGGCCAAGTGAAAATATGAATGTACCTTACATGAGGATTCTTGTTACCAACATCATGATTATTGATGCTAGTCTCTATCGACCTCAAAACATCCTATCTTAATGTGCTTATTCGTACATTCTCACTTTCATTCACTTAGAAAGACCCTAGAGTCCAAAATCAACACTTAAATCTCTCATTTCTCAAACATTATTCTTTGATACCAACTTGTAACACCCTCAAATCTGGAAAGAGCGACTAAATTAAAATTTTCTATAATACATCAAACAAGGGATAAATCTCTTTCTATACATCAATACTTGAATCACCTCAAATAGCGAAACTAGATTTAATCATCAACAATAGATAAACTAAGCCTTACATAATGACTAGGTCAAAGTTTGGTGTTACTAAAACCCAATAACAATCGCTATCTCCACATGCGGAAAGGTCATTGATTAGCTAGATCCTTCTCGTGCCTCTAATTAGCCCTCAATTCAACACAATGTCTCAAGTACCATTTCCCAAGGACCTGATGCACATGCCGAGAAAGAAAAAGGTTACGCTTAACGCCCTGTGAGTTCAAGTTGTTTTCATCTTAAGTATAAAAATGGTAACTAAAAAGATGTTATTTAAATCATAATTTCCAAAAATGAAATATATTTAGTATAAACAGCACATTCTTTCCAAAACCCACCTTTATCATGATGAAAACTCATTTATCAAAACGTTCATTTATTCATGGAACCAAAATTTAATACTCACCCAAAATTGAATGAGATTAAATGCCTAAAACATAAACAAGGTTCGATACTCAAACCATAAATAATGAAAAATACTCCATACCCAACACGTTAGCGGAAACATTGATAAAACTCGGTACCAAAAAAAACACCTTTTGGTGACATTGGAGACCCGATTTCCATGGTTAGGAGCGGAACACAAAAGTAGGCTACCATTCCACGTTATAGAGCACATCCTAAGGATCAACAGCCCAATGGGATCAATTGTTTGCGGTACATAATTCAAGACCCCCACTGATCCCAGGTACACTCATTAACTAGAAATTACATCATAGTGGCTAATGGCTAGCATCCAACTCCCATAAGATTGTACCAAGTTGCCTCCAATGACCCAATGCCTATTTCTAGCTACAATACGGGAATAACCATCCCATTAAATTGACTCAGAAATTACACCATGGGGTCAATGACAAATGTTCGACTACAAGAGCCTGCATTATAAGGCCTCCGATGACCCAATGACTATTCCTGGACACAATGCGAGAATGAACGTTCTAATTTAAATCAATGAAGACCGACTCCTATGCCTATGAATCCATTCGGTTACAGTCTAAATTACATGACCCCATATGAATGACCACGCATTCAAAGCATGTAATATTTCAAATAGATATGCTATAATTGCATATAACTCCAAAGCTCAACATAGAGCAAATAAACCGGACAAATGTCCCCAAGACTCATTTGAGTCAAACCGAGCCAAAAGCTCAACAACTCAATTGACTATTAAATAGAAGTCATCAATAAAAATGTATTTAACCAACGTTTATGCAAACACATGCTTTGAAGGCATGATAAACTCAAAAACCCATCATTGTTTGAGACAAACCATTTTCCAATTGAAATCATACCATTTATATTTGCAAGATGTCCCATATCAAAATGCATTTTCGAAACCAAATACACTACAAATGCATTATCACCAAATAATCTCCATTTATAGCATAAATCATCAAAAGAACCCACACTTATGATTTATTTATCAAAATGTCCAAAAACCCAAGTATAGGCATTTTACAAGATTTATTGAGCCAAATTTATTAGATATACAAACTTCATCAAATATTCAACACATTTGATAAATATCAAGTAAAACACATCAATACTTCAAAAACATTGTTTTCACCAAGCAACTTGAACACACCTTGCTAGGTTAGGTTAAACCTAGGTTCCAAATCCATCTCTAGCTTCCAAAATGGTGAAGGCTTTAGATCCATCAACACCTACCTCTAGGAACTTTATCCAAGTCTCAACCAAGTCTAGAGATGTACCAAAAGTAACCCTAAGATCAGATTCATACAATGGCTTATCCAAAATCTCAAATCACCAAAAACACCCAAAATGATCAAAAACTCAATATAATGGAGGCACCAAAAGGGATGTTCTAGGAGGTTAAAATGAAAGCTTTTAACAAGAATAAGGGTTTGGAAAGGTTAAGACGACTTGCAAATCGTTTTTAGGAAGAACCCAAGAACTAGGTCAACAATGATGGAAATGGAGATGAAGAAGATGAACTCAGATCTTGGATCTAGACTTGAAATCTTGATGTTTAGGAACTCTTAAATGCTTGGAGAAGGTGAATAAGGGCACTTGCAAGTCCCTAAATCGAGTTTGAATGGAAGCTAGGAGGTAGGTATGAGGTCTAATGGAGAAGATGAAGATTGTGAAAACCATTCATTGTAATCCTTGCACTCTGGGAGAAATCAATGCTCATAAATGGTAATGGAGCTCCCAAAATCGTGCCCTACGATAGTATTGACCGAAGTGAAAGAGAGTGCGAGAAAGTAGATAGAAAAACATGAGGAAGACAAGGGCCAAAAATCGGTTTTATACAGCAAAAACCGTACAGCTCAATATTTGTCAGTGTTTCACGCCCGAGGATATTATGCTGCTGTTTCACGCCTAGGAAGGGATTTTTCACACCCGGGGAGTCCTGTTTTGCAACCAAATGGCTTCTTCCACTTGTAAACTCATATCCAAACATCCCCACACTTCCTAAAACTTAATTCTTAGCATTCTTAGGATAAAATAAGTATAAAATGAAAACTTTATAATTTTTACTTGCCTTAATTTTCCGGGTGTTACATGGTGCAAGTCATAATAGGCATGTTGAGATACTGTAATTTTGATACCTCATCAGTAAGAATTTAAGGAAGATGGTGACCTCGGATCTTCCAAACTAAAAAATGTTTAACATATTGCTCTGAGACTGAATCCATGCACAAGTCAGCAGAAGATCTGTATATGTTCTGTCCAAGCTTGTCACACCTCAAACTTACAACTTGGGCATGTTGTCTTAACAAAATACTTGAAATTAAAATGTTGAGTAATTGTACATAAAATCTGCGGAAGTCCCATTATACATGGCTCGTAGTGCTTAAATTACATCACATAGTTTTGAAACAACGACAATCTATTACATAATAAAGTAAGCTACCTCTTTGCTTATATTGGTAACTTTGGAACCTGGAATACATGTAAACAATATTAGTCTAATATAATGGCTATGTGAGTCATTGTTTGAAGTTTGAAAACTTCTATTTTTAGTAGAGCATTCATTATACATGCTCCAATACCTTTAGCATATGTATAACAAACAGTACATTATAAATGAGATATCTCATTTTGCTCAAACACCAACTCGATTACTAGAACAGCATGAGCCTGAATTCTCTGATGAATCTACTTACGGATGCACCTTTCTTTGAATTTACTTGATGCTATGGATTATCGTTTATGGATGTTTTGCAGGTTCTTGATTGTGCTCATCGTAGCTTGCTTCTCATTTGTTTTTATTGGTGGACTTCTCTTCTATAAGTACAGGTACCTTCTTCTGTATCTTATAGAATCATTCTGATGCTAGATATGTACCTGTAACAAGCAAACATCAACTTCCTGGGAGATCTAAAAAATGTGGCAGTCATCTCTTAGCAAAAGAAAACATTTTACAGTATTTGCACCTCTGTAGTAACAACTTTATGCTCTTGATATACCTAGAATAAAGACATACTATCTATTACGTGCAAAACTTGTTTTGGAACACTTTAATCATAAGTTGTCTTTAACTGAATGAACACCAGTTGTAGAATTTTCTGTTTCCGATACTGTATTTACATCATTCTCACTGAATACTTCCATGCATTATTTCACTTCTTAGTTTCACTTCTTGCCAATAATATTATGCCACAATAATTACCAGCTATTGTGGCTTGGTACTTTTCTTATATATTGATATTTTACTTCTTAAAGAAGCTAGACATCCTTTCTATTATTCACCAAGCTTTGGTGATTTCTACAAAGGGTTTGACTTATTTCCTTGTTTATCTTTTACCAGGATTGTTAATATTGAAATTCAAGGATTTGTTCCAACAACCTTTGTATACTCTTTCCAAATCATTTGCGTCTATATACTGTTTTTCTATTGTTATGAACTTCTTTCTTACATTAATTTTGGTAAATTGACATGAACTTGTACCCAATATTAGATACATTATAGGGCTATAGTTTCCTCTGCGATCGTACAAGTACAAATGCTCTTTAAAGTCGAAGCATTTTAGCCTACCTATTTTTATGTGAACATACTAGTTTTTGGATCATTTTATCCCCTTATCATTGTTTTCCCCTCGTTGATCTTGATATCATGTGCAATAAATTTAGCTTTTGATAATCTTATTACTTGGGTAGATAATTTTCTTTCATCCTCACCGGGGTAAGGTAGAAATGGGGACCACATAGTGTGGAGCTTGTCAAATGAGGTTGTTTCATGCTATAGATGCTAACATTATAAACTACTTGTTGCTTGTATGATTATTCTGCTGCCTTGCTGGTTCAAGGATTATTTCGCTTTCTACTTTTATCCTGTGTTTACATACTCCCTCCGGCCAAAAAAGATGGAACACTTTCTATTTTTCTTTGTCCCAAAAATGCAATGATATTTTTTCTGGAAATATTCCCTTTCAAATTTACATGTTTGCCTATTTGCAACGACTACAATATATTTGTGAGATCAATTGTGATCAACAACTGTTGTTAAATTTGTCTTATTAACGGGTATTTTAGATATTTTACCATTAGTCAAAGACTTATATTGAACTGCGTGCCAAGTCAAAAGTTGAACTTTTTCTATTTGAGATGGAGGGAGCATTATATATGTATTTGGTAATTAGATCCCCTCTTGAGTGGTGCAGGCGTAATACACAGTCTTTTGAGGACTGTCTTTGGGAGGCATGGGCATGCTTGTGCTCTTCATCAACTCATCTGAAAGTGAGATGATTTTCAAATTCTATATCATTCACTAAATGAAACAAATTTTTTGTCTAGTTTCCGAACGGTGAAATGATATCTGTCATATTGTATGCAGCAAAGAACTAGGGTTGAACGTGTTATTGGTTTTGTTCTTGCTATATGGGGGATATTGTTTTATTCTCGCTTATTGRGCACAATGACAGAGCAGTTCAGGGTAGGTTCTTGAAGCTTTTAATGCACCAAACCTCAACACTGGGATTTAAATGATATGCCCATTTGTACAGCATAACATGCAAAAGCTTAGAGAAGGAGCCCAAATGCAAGTTCTAGAGAGTGATCATATAATTATTTGTGGAGTTAATAGTCATCTGAGCTTCATACTAAAGCAGTTGAACAAGTATCATGAGTTTTCTGTGCGATTAGGTACAGCTACATCTAGGTAATGCCTTCAATATTTTAACTTCTCTATGTTATATAAGTGCATTCAAGTGTAATACATCATAAGAACTCATAAACAGGAGGCAGAGAATTCTTCTTTTGTCCGATATCCCAAGGAAGCAAATGGACAAAATTGCTGATCATATTGCAAAAGATCTTTATCATATTGACGTCCTTACAAAGAGGTATGCCTGCTTGTACATATTGGGCCCCTGGGCCAAATAATTTTTTTGACTAAAAACAGATTAAAGAATACTACTACTACTACTATTAACACTTTCAAGTCGGAGTGTATACATCAGTATACCCAAAATATCACAAAGGCTTAGTTTGAATATTCTAGAGCTGGACACCCAAACAACTAAAAACTGGCTTGATAGATGGAAGTCCCCTAGATGTATTGCTGACCCTCTTGCATATATAACAAAATTATGGTAACCTCAACATGTTTAGTGCATTCATGAAATATCTGGTTCTTGGAGATAGACATTGCTTCCCGGCATTATGCTCAACTCTCAATCCAAGCAATGCCAAGTCGTAATTCAAAGTTTAGTGCCTCAACCAAACATAGGCCGTTATTTTAGTTATCATCAGGCTGCTGACCCAATCATGGTGGCTTCTGTCTTACTTAGGTTAATTTATGTAATGAGACCTTGTGTTGCACCATAGCCACCTTACCGTTTTGACTTTGAGTTTGACAGCCACTTTGTGGTGAAAAGAACAGAATGATGGCCTTAACCTTCTCAGTTCATCCAAGGATCATTGCTTAACCGGTACTACATACAAGTAAACCTTGAATTTTTTAGTAGTTATGCAACTCTCGTGTTACCAGTAAGTTGAAATTAAATGCAGTTACAGTATTAGTGTATTCTGTATATTTTTACATGCTAGTCCTGTCTCTTTGCTTTTATTACAGCAAGGGTGTAAGCAATATTTGATTTCTCGTAAATTTTTATTAAATTTCCTTCCATCTCTGCTTTTTTCCTTCTTTCACCTTAAGTTTCATGTTATGCAGTTGCAGTCTAAGCTTAACAAAATCATTCCAAAGGGCTGCAGCCAATAAAGCACGTGCCATAATAATATTGCCAACCAAGAGTGATAGGTACGGTTTTTTTAACTCCAGGTTTCTGAAGAAATAATCTATTATCCAGTTCCAAATGCAAATTATTCTTTTTTTACTATTACCATCACTTTTATTGGCATATTGTTGAAGTTGTTGCTGTGTTGTTAATAAGGGAGTGGAGAGAAGGTTTCTGTTGGCTAAAGAGTCTGTAGTTATCTGTCTACTTACTGAAATGAGATTCATCATGCACATATATATATAATATATATTAAATTAACTTTTTCCCCCAGATTGTACTTGTGATGATTGTTCTAATCATAAAACTCCAACTATTTAATGCCATGATCTCTAGCTTATAGGTGTGAAAATAAATCACGGAACTGCTAGTCAACAAAGCTACCAATGTTCTTTTACATTTATATACAATATATATATATATACATACGATATATATATATATATATAATACACTTATAAGCAGAAAGGGATGTGATATGGGTAGATCGTGTACAATGGGTTTAGTTGATTAGGTTCAAGGGGAAACGAAACCACAGAATATACATCCACAAAATATATATGCTAACAAATAAAATATACATGTACAATATATAATATATTGTTAGTATATATGATATACTAACAAATAAAAATATAATATTAGGTTTTAGTGTAAATACTTCGATGCTCGAATGTAGCATGTTAAGAAAATTCTAAGACTTATACACACGCACACATATATGTGGAGTGAGGGAGATGGAGTGAATCTTTTCGAGAGAGTGCACAAACATCCGTTTTTTTTGACTTTTTGTTTTGTGGGTGTATATAACATAATGTATGTGAGTATGAGTATGTGTATGTGATGCAAAAGTGAATGGCTTTGAGAGAGAGCAATTGGCAGACTGACAACCATAATTTGTAACACCTCATCCTACTAAACCTACAATGAGGCGTGACACAACCGAAAACGGATCAAAAACATATAGATCAAAGTATAGAGCTTTAACATAACTCCCAAAAGATTACTTTACAACCAAAAAGTGTTAATATGTTTAACATATTTACATAGCAGAAGTACTGATCTAAGACTATTCTTCCTGCATCCTAAGCTATCTCGACCATTCATGCTGCCCCCGGGTTAGATCTTGAACCTGTCGAGGTAAAACAAAACAAACATCGGCTGAGCAAAATTTGCCCAGTGAACGAATAACAACATCATAAATACAAGATAAAATAGTAAATGCAAGAAAACGTTACGATAAAAGTTGAGATAACTAGAATAATAAAACCATGAAGCTTTCAAATTAATTTATCGGCAAGAATCATAGAATACACCGTTAGCGGATCGAAGTCTCAAGCATACAAAGTCTTTAAAACAAGACATCCCATAAACACAAAAGATTTCGGATAACATCTTGATAACCTCCACTTTTAAATATACATATTATATATGTGTGTCAGTGATGCAGAAGTAAACGACTTTATGAGAGAGAGCAAGTGGCAGCCGTCCTTTTTGACTTTTTGGACTCTGTATTGAATAAAAAAAGGCCACCCACAATATATATATATATATATATATATATCAGATGCTACGTCTCTCTATGCCTCACCGCCCCATCAATTTAAGGCGTACGATTAATATAAGATGTGAGCACAGCGATGACCGCCATTGTTATATAATTTAAAGACCACAATGGATCTATGATAAGATAAGATCATTCATTTACAATGGGATGATATACAAAGTGAGAGTATAGGTTGATGCTAGGTTCTAAATGATTGCCATTACTCTACCGCTCCATTAGTCAATTCCTTCTTTCCCATTTTCATTGTTAATAAAAGGGGCCATAAAATAAATATTTAGGGCTTCTACTGTGTAATGCAAAAGTTAACTATAATCATAACAAACTAGTATAACTTTTCCAACCAATGCCTATATTAATGCTTGAATGAAATTCCAACTCATGTAACAGCCTATGATCCTTGATGCTTAAGAGAGCATCAATCTGAAGATCACTTTTTTCATGCATACAAATATATATTAAGGGGAATTAATAAAAAAAATATCTGTTTCAGCCTTATACATTTATCTCTTAGCCATTTCTCCCAAAATTTTCAAAATATCACTACCATGCAAGTAGCAATCCTCAACTTGAGGGGTCAAAATGTAAAAATAAATAAATTTCTGAACATGATTCGCAAGTACAGGGATCATATCTGTAATTAGTTAAAGGTCTACAAGTGGCACTTCCTCCACTTGCAGAAGTATTTGGACTAATTTGCATATTTGATCCCTGTATGTTCAGAAATTTCTTTTTTTTTTTCATTTTGACTCCTCCGCAAGTTGAGGAGTTGCTACTTGCTGAGGTAGTGACATTTGGAAATTTTGGAGAGAAATGGCTAAGAGGTGAATTTGTCTGACTGAAATGGCTATTTTTGGTAATTTCGCAAATATTAATTAAGACTGCAAATTCATCTTTCTACTCGGCCCTTCCCTTCCGGTCACAAATGACTAACCTTACTGGTTGCTCCAAGTCTTGCTCCCACAACTAATTGGAATTTTCTTAAAAAAACGTGTATTCACAACATGAAGTTTTCTAATCGTTTACTATTTTTTTTTTTGAGTTCTTAGGTATGGAATTGATACAGATGCGTTTCTATCTGTCCTTGCCCTCCAGCCCCTTTCAGACATGGAATCTGTTCCAGCAATTGTTGAGGTTAAATGTATTCCTTTCTCTCTTGTTCTATAAAATGCATTGGTCAAGGTACTAGTATTGTTGTGCACGATTATAACCAGAAAATTCTCTTAATTGCTTCCAGGTTTCAAGTCCCAATACATGTGAGCTCCTAAAGTCAATCTCAGGGTTGAAGGTGGAGCCTGTGGAAAATGTTACATCCAAATTATTTGTTCAATGCTCTCGACAGAAGGGGCTCGTAAAGATCTATAGACATTTGCTTAATTACCGAAGTAAGCTCCAACTGCTTGTTGAAATGATTGCCGAATTTTTTAAAATACTACTAAGCTAATTGATTTGACTAATATTATAGTCATTGTTTTATAACGTAACCTAAACGAAAGTGATGTACTAGGTTCAAATGCTATTATGCTTCCTGGATAAGTACTGTGATTCAAAGTTTGATACATATATTTTGAAGCAATGTAATGCTGTAATTGTATACAACTAGTTGCCTTGGCTTATATAGGAAATGATGGATGCATATCTGATGTATTGATGGTTAAACTATACAACTTGATACCACCTTATTCATCCTTTTGTTGTCTTTTCAAGTTGGTTTTTTTCCTGCGCCATACTTTGTGGTTCTGTATTGCAAAATGCTTTATAATACAGTCACAATTTCCCTAATTGTTTATGTGTTGTAGTGAACGAAGAATTTTTATTTCTTCATGTTGTACTATGATGTTGATAAGTTTCTATAGTTTGTCATACACCCATCTAGTGGCCCAAGTCCATTCCTAAGAATATTCTAGAATAGTTAAGAAAGGGTAATTAGGGGTACTTCTGAGAATAATTTCTAGTATAAATAAGGTGGCTGTAGGGAGTATGGGGCATGTAGAAAATTTAGTAGGTTTTTGTTATGAATCAGAAAACAGAGAGGTAAACAGGGGAAAAATTCTTTTGAAGAAGGTACTGAATGACTGAATTACAAAAGGGAAAATCATAATATGTATAACTAGCAGTTCGAGAAGCTAGGGTCCCCCAAAATGAGTCACCAATTTCTGCTTTCCAAACACCTCTAACTTCCCACTATTTATATTTCTCCCAACGACTTATTAAAAATAATTCCCCAAACTACCCTCAAGCCCAAAACTTCCCAACTATTCTTTGTTTCCATTGTCCTTCTGTCCTGCTTTTGTTTTCTTTCTTCTAGCATATGTATACTGAGTCGGTGGATTCATAACATTACCCCGCCCCCAAACAGCCACCTTGTCTGCAAGGTGTAGATGAGGGAAAGATGCTCCATTGTCGGCATATCCTCCCATGTGGACTCAAATTGCGGTAGATGTTTCCACTTCAGAAGCACTTCTGTTTGAATTCCATCGTTTGTCATGACAGTGTGCACGCCCAGCAGGGATTCGGTCTCTACTTCCAACTCCAGATCAACATTGAGGTTTGGGGGTATAGTGGGGAAAACCGGGTGTGCACCAATGGCTTGTTTGAGCTGAGATACATGGAAAACCGGGTGTATGGGGGCTACGGTCAGTACCTTAAGCTTATAAGCTACGGAGCCGATACATTCTTGAACTTCGAATGGGCCATAAAACCGAGTTGCTAACTTCTGGAAGGGTCACCTAGCCATCAATAGTTGTCGATAGACCAAGTCACCAACCTGAAAATTGACTGCCCGTCGAGACTTATCAGCTGTGATTTTCATATGTTGTTCTAAAGAGGAAACACCAGAGCTATCCACCTGAAAGTGAAGAAGGCATGGAGGATCTCTGCCATACAAGGCTTTAAAAGGTGTGCACTTAGAAGATGTATGGTATGACGTGTTACACTAGAATTCGGCCCATGGTAACCATTTGGCCCAGTAACGGGCATTACCGTGGATGAAACAATGCAAGTAAGTTTCAACCGACTTGTTGACAATATCAGGTTGGCCATTTGTTTGGGGGTGGTATGCCGTACTGCATATCTGAGTCGTTCCTTGGAGAGTGAACAATTTCTGCCAGAATTTACTCATAAACACTTTGTCACGGTCAGAAATAATGGTGGAGGGAAACCCGTGGAGATGAATTATTTCCTTCACAAAGATGGCAACTATGGGAGGGGCAATATAGGGGGTGATGTTAGCCCAATAAAGTGCGCATATTTAGTTAAGCGGTCTACCACTAGTAGTATTGTATCGATCCCATTAGAGTGTGCCAGTCCCTCAATAAAATCCATAATTAGGTCATCCCATACCTGAGAAGGAATCGACAAAGGCTGTAGAACGCCCAAATGGGTAGTGGCAGCCTTTTGCTGCTGGCAGATTTCGCACTTCTGGACGTAATCCCGGATGGCTCGGCGCATACCCACCCAGAACCATTCAGAAGCAAGCCGTTGGTAAGTTCTGAACTCACCCGAGGGCCCTCCCGAATCCACGGAATCCACCTTGACTAACCAGAGCATTGTTGTGATCAAAAGTTTGAGAAGACTGAAGATTCTCATTCCGAAGAACACGGGCAAATGTTTTCTGAAGAGAAGGAATAACAGATTCATTCAAGAACTGAGATCTGATAGAGTCAAATTCTGGTCGCAAACCAGCCTAGAAACTGATAACAGCCACTTGTTCCCTCATGGTTTTGACATCAGCATTTAATGGAAGAAGAGAGTTAAGCTCCTCATATACTTTCTTGAACTCCGTGGCATAAGTAGTGAGTGATCTGTCTTGTTGTTCTCCACAATGAAAGGACTTACAAACAGTAAAGATTTGAGAGATGTTACTTTGTCCAAAATATAAAAATCAAGATAATCCATAAGATCCTTCACTCGTTCAAAGTGACTAACCAAAGACGAAACAGAAGGCTCAATAGTATTGATAATCTGCAAGTACAAATGAGCATCGCTTTGTAACCATGAATCAGAACCCTCACCTTTAGGGGATCAGATATGAGATGAGAAACCATTCCCATGCTTCGGAGATAGATACGAATAGTTTTGCTCCACTCAAAGAAGCTGGAGCCATTAAGCGTGTTGTCGGTGAGTAACATTTACGGGAAGCATCTCGGGTATACGTGGACCACTGTTGCTACCATATGGTTTGTCTTCTTTAGTCATTTTCCAATAAATCACGAACTAGAAACCGTCGGACTAGGACAAAGGATAGCAAGCCAGAAAAAAAAGAACGGCGCACCCACATGGTGCCAAAAGACCACATAAAGTGAACCACTCACAGGAGGCCAAAAGCCAACGAACAGAGATGAAAACAATCAGAAAATCAGAAAATTTATTATCCAAGAAAAGAAAATGTACCAAGAAATTTCGATGAGAAGAGATGAAAACAATCAAAAAATTAGAGAACTTCCGATCCGCGGAACCGGTGCTTGTTACAAAACGGTGCTCTTGTACCATGTAATCAGAGATGATATTATTGCTTAACTTGTGTATTACAACGAAAGGGTACAAGGATATATATATAGACAAGAAACCTAGGAAAGAGAATATTTTGTCCAATCAAAAATGATTTTATCATTTCTGTATCCAAAATTCAGTATAGGTGGATACATATCCTATACATCTGTTTCACTTCCACTCATTTACCGATGCAATTTCAACCCTAAGAGCCCATGGGCTAATTGGGCCTAAACAAATAAATACAGTATTTATATTCTAACAGAGAAGACACCTCAAATTAGGGAGAGAAAATCAAGCTGCGAGGGAGGGTTCTTTAAGTCAAAAGGTTTCTTTAAGTCAGGAGGTGGCGTTGATTAGTCAGAAAAATAGGGAAGAAAAGGCAAATCTGGAAGCGGGGAGTCTATCAAAGTCCATAGTGGATATTTTGGGAGTTGGCAGAATAATATTGAAGCACGTAGTGGAATTATTTGGATCTTTTAAAGGCCCACCGGTTGGAGCGGATTTAGAGATGCTTTTACAAAGGGACGATCCTCTCTTCTTATTGTTATTAAAAATAGTCGTTGTCCAAATGCTGTGGGAGTGATGGCTTTAGTAAACTCATTAAGCCATTTCGAAGCAGCTTTCAACAGTGAATTTTCCAAATTTTCAGGAAAATGAGTCTGGTCTCAAATGTTGAAATTCTACCATTTTTGATCGAATTACTTACGGGAAAGGCGATACAATGGGATCCAATCATCTTTGCTTTATACATATCTGCACACGTGTTGCCAAGCGTTTTCCAAGAAACATTGTTCGTAATGTTGATGGAGATATAGTTACAGGTTTGAAACAAGTTGATATAAGGACTAAATTGTTAGAGGATCTGTATACGTTCCTCCTTTGTCATCGTCATTGTCTCCAACAATCTCCTTTGATAGGATGCACGGAAACAGTGGCTGTGATCTCCAATGTGGGGGGCAATGGAGCTTAATGGGGAGGATTTGACATCAGTGGCAGTTGATTGGGGAGATGCAAATTTGCTGCACCTATTCCTCTTTTTTTTCTACCCACCTCGAGGACAAGGTGGTTTTTTGGGGGCGGGTAATGTCATACACCCATCTAGTGGCCCAAGCTCATTCCTAAGAATGTTCTAGAATAGTTAAGAAGGGTAATTTGCGGTACTTCTGAGAATAATTTCTATATAAATAGGGAGGCTGTAGGGAGTATGAGGCATGCAGAAAATTTAGTAGGTTTTATTTGGGAGAGTTCTAGCTTCTCGAATGCTAGTTTGTCTTTGTTTTTGTTGTTAATTGAAGCATTAAACAGTGTCCATATCATTTGATTTCCATTTCCATTGTTCAATCGATTGGGTTCATAACATTGTTGTATTGGACCTTTTAGTATTCGAGACAATGCAGCTAGTCTCACTCAAAAATTTTGCTCACATCTTTTCAACTTGAGGTGAATACCTGAGCTGAGCATTTTTATACCTGAAGCTGGCACCACTTATTGAGTCTCCATGCAAAGGAATACCGAATAGTTTTAGAGGTTTGCCCACATAGATTCTAGGTATTTTTGTCTTTAAAGAAATGACATTAGAAACTAAGATATGGATTGAAACTTGCACATCTGAAGGGTACGACGATCCATTCCCTTGAACTAGATCATGAATGGCAAGATATGGGGCTTTGGTCATGTTGGCTAGTGTTGTACTTTCTGGATCCTCGTAAGAACCATCTGTACATGCAGCAATGAGGGAGGGAGGGTTAATGAAGGCACATTTTCTTGGTTACCAAATTTTGTATTTATAATCAAACAGATCTATTGTTAGATATAGGTCCATCATAAAACATTCGAAGAGTTCATCTTATTGATGTTTATGAATCGATTTATCAATGGACTGTGCTATTACAATATTTATCCGTACTAGCCATCTCCATTGTCCATTTGCTTTATCAGCTTCTTTCTATTTTTTATGGTGGTTCTAATGCTTATCTTTGTATCCTTGTAAAAACTGAAATGGAAACTCTTTTCTTGCCCGACTTGAAGAACACAAAATGATAATCCTATATCCTTTATCATATATAGCATTTCTAATGTCTTATGCTTACAGCTATGATCCTAGCAAAATCGATGAACTTGTTTTTGCAGAAAACGTATTCAACCTTTGCAGTTTTCCACATCTAGCAGGATTGAAGTATGGGCATCTAAGAAATGGATTTCAAGAGGTTTGTTTTTCTCTTGTTTCAAAACTTATCAGAGTGAGGATGTAAGAAACTGCCCTTTGGTTAACACTACATGTTCCAGTATGTTGAGCACTCCTCCGTCCCATAATGGTTAGGGATATAGATTTAACATGCTTATTAACAAAATTTATAAATTTCCCCACCACCTGTCTTAAATGATTACTTTGGGTTATACAGATTTAACTTGAATGAGGTTAAAAAGCGATTATATATTTCTTCAGTGAGATCCTTACCTAGAGAGAGATTAGAAAAAACTTATTTTCTGCTCCTACCCAAGGTCCGATTCTGAGATACATACCATTCTATCCCACATCTATAATATACAAGCCTTGCTGAAACCACAAGAAAAAGTTAGGGCAGTCCCCTAGCAAGTATTTTGTTAATAGCCATATTTAAACTGATATCAGCAAAGCTAAACACCACGTGTTATCTTCACATCATACGATATGATATGTCCATGTGATGGGAGTTTGAGACTGCAACTCCTATGTCAAAAAATGTGAAGTTAGTTAACATTATAGACAATTCTATGTCAATCCTCTGAGTATCGAGGCAGAACCCACATCAAAAACTAGAAACGCATCCTCCAATACCTAATTCTCGCAATATGTCGAAGTGCTGAATTAGCTTATCCATAGGATGGAAGATTTACATGCATAGATGGAGCTATATGGTAGTTTCTGAAGTATTAAGTGACCCATTGAAATTTTGTATATAGTTGCATGGTAGGAATGCAAGACAGAAATTCTGTCCTGCTTACTGATTGGTTCCATCATTGTGAACGCAACTGCACCCTGTTCTACCCCCCCCCCCCAAAGCATCAATTGAACCTGGTGCAGTCTATGCATTAGTTTAACTTTGTAAACAGATCTATTACGATATAAATAATTTTTTCAATGTAACCGGTGAGATTGTCTGAACTTTTGCTTTAAAAACTATGCACTGCTTAGAGAGCAATTCCGCTAGAATTACTGCTACCTTCTGTAAAAAGTAATGCACATTGATTTAAAATCTTCGATTAGTGCTATTAACAAATTTGACAGCAGATTTGATCAAATGTTTGATCTCTCCTTTAATGCTCACATGAAGTGTGAATTAATGTATACTTTAAATTTTTTCCGTGGTTACTCAGTTTCATAATTGTTCTATAAATACGAGGCTACGCATCTCCTCAATTTCACAGGTGTACTTCATAGTTGTTTGAACTGTGACCTTTCTATGAACATTTAAAACAACCGAATTAGAACATCACTTAGTAATTACAAATTCAATTATTTGCAGGAAATAATACGTACGTCTTAATATGATTCCATCATTTTTTATTTATAAATAATAGTGACCCCCACTCTACCAAAATCCTTGCTCCCGACACTGTTTCCCTGACTCATGGTTTCCCGTGTTTATCCTTAAATGAGAGAGATCGTGGGTTTATCATCTCAAGATGGGGGGCTTTCTGTGGCTGAAGGTAACTGCGATGCTAGCTCCTTGATAGAGGAAGATGGCAGTGGTCTACCTCTTAAATATGGTCACTCTTAGTGGCATAAGCTAACAATGCTGCCTTGTCTTGTAAAATAGTTCACAAGTGTCTGTGCTTGTTTTTTGGCTTGTGCTTGTGGGGCTTGCTGTTTTAGCAAAATATCACACATTCTCTCTTTTTTTGTACCAACAGAGATACAATTTAAACTGTAAACTATAAAATACACAAGGTTTTACCTTCACTATTATTTTTATCGATCGTGGCACCACAACTATATTACTTTGATCATTTCATTCTATTTTGTAATATATTTCCCCTTTACATTGTGTCAGTTGGAGAGTAATAAGACAACTGTTTGTATATATTATTGACATGTTACTATTGTTCTAGCCATCATAGCGTGATATAACAGTGGTGATCCCTGCAATTTCTGTTTCATGTTGTATCTAGTTTCTGTTTCGTTTATATATGTCGACATCTTTTCAGGCTGTTGTTTGCGGCCTTTATAAGAAAGGGAAGATAAATTTTCATCCACTGGACGATGAAGTTCTAGATGAAGATGATAAAGTATGTATGGATGTGAAGCTAATGAATCTAGTTGTAAAATGTGGTTTTTCTTCAATTCGTGGTCTGGATCATTCTCTCATTGGTCCATCAATATCTTATGAGCCGTTGTTTTACGGTCTCCTAATATACACATTATAAAAAGATTAGCTGTTATCAAGCTGCACAAACTCAATATGGCAGCTAGTTTGAAAGTGAAATTTGAGTGCATGTTTATTTGAACATCTTTGCCTCAGATGGTTGACCAACTCTTATTCTGCATTTATAGGTATTATTCATTGCGCCTGTTCATGGGAATAAGAAAACACAGGTTGCATATTTTAATTCTATTAAAGAAGAAGAAGTTGACTCTTGTAATCTCCAAGTTGTAAAGGTGGTTGGTGAAGCTCCACATAATGGGCTTCAAATGGCAAAAGCACGGTTGGATAAAATTGTCAAACGTCCAGCAAAACCAGGTTCGAAGGTACATGTTTGTGAGAAAATACTTTCTCATTTGCATTAACCTTATTGGGTTAGAGGAAAAGGAAATTAAAGAACCTTGACCGATACAGGCGTCAGACTGGAGTGTGGGACCAAAAGAATGCATATTATTGCTTGGATGGCGCTCAGATGTTGTGGAAATGATTGAAGAATATGATAATTACCTAGGACCTGGAAGTGTTCTGGTATGTTTGAATGCCACTTGACAAGAATTAGTTTATTGTGTATTTGTTACAAAGGCATCGAATTCTGTGAATTATTGCATTTTTATCGACTATTATTTTTGTATATTCACTTGTTCCAGTAACTTTTTGGTTTAAGTGAAGTAACTCTTCATTCGAAGTGAGGGGGGGCGGAGTTGAATAAAAAAAAAAATAAGGTTCTTCGATGCATATATACTTTCTTTGGAACATAAGATAAGTACTCCTTAGGTTCAGCTTAGAATTACAAAAAGTGCCTCTTTATGAAAAGCGATGGAAAAGTTTCATACGAAGAATTCCCTCTCCGTGCCACCCAAAGCCAGGGTGCCACTACGGTCCCGTTTTCAGTTAGAAACATTCACCAAGTTCGGTTGACTGATTATAATGGAAATAGAGTATGGTCCTTGTAGACAGAAATAGAATCTATCCTCAAGTGGAAATTCTTTTGATGTAAAATAAACATTGATTTAAATATGCGAGTCATAATACATAGATTTGCACCCGTGACCTCCGTGGCATTATCACCTGGGGATAATGCTGATTGGTTAGTCGGAAAAAATCTTCTTGTGTGGTATTGTATTTTAGCTTTCTTAATGGCATACTTAACATTTCTCTAGTCTCTTAAGAAGATGGTATTTTTCTTGCTTTTTGTTATGATTATTGCTATTATTTTACTTATTTATTCATGAAGAGACTCGGCCCATCCCAAAATTTGTCCATTTTAGACATATAAGAATAAAAAAACAACATTCCAAAGTCAAGATTGGTATGGTCAAACAAATACTTGAGAAACATGAAATTAAATACATTCATGTGTGATGCATGCTACAATTAGAAATAGTAGGTTTGAGTTTCAAAATTGTGAAGTGGACATGAAGTATGAGAGAAAAACAGGATTAACAAATTATTATTTGTACATCAGATATAAAGTCAAACCTTTTCCTTGAGTTTCTTGTATTATAAGCATAAGTTTATTCATGTAGGAAATTCTGTCCGATGTGCCAATTGCTGAAAGAGAGAAAACATACAAATTTGCTGGTCAACGCAAGTTGAAAAACATTCAAGTCATCCACAAGGTACCATCTCAGAACTATATATGTTCTTCCTTTTTCACTAAAGTTCCAATAATTCTTTGTTTTCATCCTAAATCATATATGTACATTGCACAAATAGATTGGGAACCCGAGGAACTATGATACCTTAAAAGATACCATTGAACACACTCAAAAGTCTCATAAGAAAGGAGAAGAGGTTCCATTCTCCGTAGTAGTTATATCTGATAGAGAGTGGCTGCTTGAAGGTACGAATTACTTATTTTTTTGGCCAAAGACAGCATGGGACTAACCTTATTGGTTATTTACAGACCCATCAGGGGCTGATAAGCAGTCTGCTTATTCTCTCCTTCTTGCTGAAAGCATTTGTCTGAAGCTTGGTGTGAAGGTGGGTAGGTCAAGTCATTTATATCATATTCTTTCTTTTTTATTTGTTTCTTAGAATATTTTTACAAGTAGGTGGTCGCTACACCTTTTTCAAAAGAAGGGTCCTGTGGCCCACTAACGTTAAAGAGTGACCGGAGGAAGATGGGTTTTGATTCTTGTTTTCATTATGACGTTTTAACATGAGAAATGCAAACCGGTGCATAGGAATCATAGATAAAAATAAGTTTTATCATAAGCTACATCGATGTAATCTCTTTTTTTTCTACATATAAAGGAACATTTGCCTCAACACATAGTTCAATGAAAACATTTATAGTCAAATGTATCCTATACCCTCAAATCTCAATAAGACAAATAAGGGGATTTTCGTGTTCCAAAGTCAATGTCATCATTTTGTTGCAATGATCATCAGGGTAATCTTAACTTGAAAATGTGTCAGAAAAGCAAATGCTGGAATTGTTTACGGATATTCTGAAAAGGAACTTGTTGCATTTATTTATGTATGAATGGAGTAGAAGCCTAGGTAAAGATGCAAGTTACCATACATTGAAGATCTTTATGGTAATATGTTGGTAATTTTTATTTTGACTTTCCACTTAGAAAGTTCTTTTGACCTCTTAACTTAGGTTCAAAATCTGGTTGCAGAAATTGTAGACTCAAAACTGGGCAAACAGGTATTTTGTTTTACGTTTTACATATAAATCTTAATGTTGATTTCATTTTATTTATGTATTGAAACAACATATTCACCCGTTAGATTACAAGAATCAAGCCATCGTTAACTTATATAGCAGCTGAGGAAATAATGAGCCTCGTGACAGCTCAAGGTTATATATGAACTTCATGTTTCTTTTCATGTTTGTTTATGCAAATAAGTTCATCCTTTTTAGCTAATTGAATTATACCTCTGTTTTGAACATCAGTGGCCGAAAATAGTGAACTGAATGCAGTTTGGAAAGACATATTGGATGCAGATGGAGATGAAATTTATGTGAAGGTAACACCACTTGTGGAGCTTTAGCATGTCTTTGTCCCAGAAAAAAGAAGTCTAACCTTTGATTTTGGAGATTCAAGTGTACTATTTTCCCGTTTCAAATTCAACATAGATTTTCAATTTATTGTTATCTGTAAAAATTTTGCAAGCTGGGTCTTCAGGGAAACAGTGTCTCTACTCTTTGTAGGAGAGGTCTATGTGCATCCTGCCCTCCTAGACTCCACCTCCAGGTGGGATACGCTAGGCTTGTTTGGTTTGGATTTTTATCTGCAAAATGTTTATTTTCCTAGTAACTTGCATATAGTTGAATATAGTTATGAATTATGTCTACACAAGTTAAATAGTTCTTGTTGGTTTGAAGCTCAAAAAATTAACTTATTTTGACACGAATAGGAGTCAAAATATTGACTGTGCATCGAGACCAATGGAATAGAACCAAATCTGAAACCTTGTTAATTGGTTGATGCATTGTCTGGCACAGGACATTGGTCTCTACATGAAGGAGGATGAGCATTTATCATTTTCCGAGCTCTCAGAAAGAGCACGATTGAGGAGAGAAGTCGCCATTGGTTATATAAAAAACAAGAAGAAGGTTTGCACACTTTTTTTCTTGCTGATGTTTCATACTGAAATGAGCTCTTTTTTACCTCTTTATTCTCTCCCAAACTTTTGGAACCATTTTTGTAACAACCCATCTCACATGGATCGCAAAGTATAATTATGAGCTCGTTATAAGCTCAAAGTTATAGACTACCAATAACTTCCACCGTGGTTTGAAGTTGAATTAGAGGTTATTGAGCCAAATTGTTGTTTGGGGTGTTGCAATTTTTCTGGATGCAAATTCCTTTTCTCAAAATCTTTTTACAAGATGATGGTATTCACGAAAATAGTCTCTACTCATTTTGTTTTTGGGGGGGGGGGGGGGTTCTATCTCCATCCTACTTTCCCCATGTCGTACTTCATGTGGGTTTACTGGGTTTGTTTGGTTTGCTAAAAAAAGATCGTTCTTGATATGTGAATCGTATAGGTTATCAACCCAGTTCCCAAGTCAGAGCCTCTCTCCCTACAACTTACGGATTCTTTGATCGTTATATCAGAGCTTGAAGGCGAACAACCTGTCCTCTTGTAAATGGTGATTTGTTCTCCAACAAAATATGACGACTTCTTTGTGACCTTTTTCATTATTGCATGGTGTTATCGGTTTTACATGCATACATTAGCGACTCGCATACAAATTGATTGCGTCAGAAACAAGACCAAGGATCCAAGATTTTCTTGTCTTGAAGCATGATATAAAGTACAAGACTGTTAGAATTTTTATTAGTGTAAAAAGAAAACAAAAACTCAGAAAACAAGGAAGCATGTCATAATTGTATAATTTACATTTGTGAGAATGGATTTTTGGTAGCTACTTGTATCAAACATTCTCACGTTCACTTTTCAGTAGAGATCAAGTCTACATATATCTTACCCCTCCTAATACCCCACCTTCGAGTGTGATATACGGGTTCGTATGGTTTGGTTTGGTTGTCTCACGTCCTCCATAATTGATATTGACTCGATGTGTTCTTCAATTGAATGAGAATAATGAACTGATTAAGAGATGGATCGATGAACCTGTCAAATTGTTGATCATGTTAGCCAACAAAGATTACAAATATTCCTTATTGGGAATATAGTTAATGGAGGTAGCATAATTATGGCTGTAAGTATTTGTATAGCATGATTGAAGGGTTGATTGTTGGTGTTACATGAATAGAAATGATCAAGGGATTGAATCCTTATATGGTTACTTACATAGCATGATTGAAGGGTTGATTGTTGGTGTTACATGAATAGAAATGATCAAGGGATTGAATCCTTATATGGTATCAGAGCAAGGGAAAAAAAATACCCAAATTCTTTCTCTACATTGCTGCTTCTCTTTCTGTTCATACCACCATCAAAAGTTTATTTTTACATCATCATTTCCTTTCTTTTCTTCTTCACACGCTCTAGTGGCAGAAGACAAGAAAATTGTTCAATAGTTTCATCCCGTTAACAATGTTCTAAATTTATTTCCAACTGTTTTGATAACGAAAAAGGACAGTACGCCTCTTGGATAGAATTGATTGTTGTGCTTACGAAGTTTATGAGCATATTATCATCCCACCTACGACCCATATTGTTGATGCCCTTATAATGGATCTATAGGACAATCTCTAATGACCTCCCAATCACCATCTTGAAACCTAACTACTACCAAAGGACATGTGGGATCGACTCAAAAGCATTTTTGTTGACAACAAAATTCCTGTGCAAAAAAAGTTCTCGTGCATTTACTCTTGAAAACCGTTTCACATGATTCTTTTACAACTATCTAGATGTTTCCTTTTGTTCCAACAAACTCAAAACATTAGCCGATCAACTGTTAACGTCCATGCTCTCGTCTACAACCGTCGATTAGATCTTCATCTAATCAATGGTTTAAATGAGAATTACGATACAGTTGCCTCTTCTCTCTCTCTCTCTCTCTCTCTCTCTCTCAAATGGATCCTTTGTCGGGGTTCTACATGCTTGATCTCGCCTAGTTTTGAGAACATCACGACAAGCCGACCCGAGCATCTCCTACAACCCTTCTCTATCAACACGATGTCGACCAACATCGCATCCATGGTCCTACTACTTGCCATCACGTAATGATTCTCATTGGGGGTTTCATAACTCCACCAATTAGCAGCCTCACCATGGTTACTCAAGCTTACACCGAGGACGTGGTCGTGGAGGCTTTAACAGCGGCTCCTTATTAGGTGGTCATCAACCTACATGGCCTCTGTAGGCCTTTTGGAAGCCTACTTCTCAACTGCCGCAACTATGGGCACTACCTCCTCGTCTGTATCCGACATCTACTTGGGCTTGGCCACAACCATCCAATCAGTCCGGTATTCTTGAAAGTTGTTGGCAAAAGCATAGGCATGCTGATAGGGGGTGTAACTATTCGCAAGAGTAAGGTATCTTCTAAAGTATTACGTACGATAAGTACTAGTATCGAACTAAGGGAACTAGGTACTGAGTATCACAAGGACTACAATCACCACTAACTGGATGGTTTGAATTTGGGGATGAACTAAATACTGAAGATCTAATTAAATAATGGTAAAACTAACAATTTCAGAGAATAGGTTGAAAACTTTTAATACGAGAAAAGTAGTTGGGAATTGGAATCCTAGTGATTTTCAACATAGAACACTTCAATTGAATAATTAGCAGATTAATCAATCAATAAATACATAATTACTATTGTGCATGTTATTATCTCTCGAGTTATAACGAGTTTATCTCTAATAAAACATCTCTCAATCTCAACATACAAATTCCAAGATGTGTTTAAACCAAGATTGTTAAGACAATTCTAGGGTTTAATTGGTACATCTCTATCCAAGTTCTCATCCTAGGCATATAATGTATAAATCTAATCTCAAATCACTTTTCTCAAAGAGAATTCAAGATAAAAAGATTAGTTGGTAGTTGATCAGGATAATAACAACATTAAGAATATCATATGCTAACTGAAAAACCTGATAAATATCCAACTTTTACATTTTCATATGTTTAATAACCACAAATCATCCAACCCAACATCTAAAGTTAGTTTTTTTTTTTATTAACTTGGATATCCAACCCACAATGCAAGCCGACTGATCTCAGGGCGACCACCTGCTTCGCGGGTAGCCCAAAAGTCGTCGTATTTGAACCTCCATGGCCATAAGGGGATTTTTATTACTATCTGGATTCGACCCTAGGACCTCCAGACATTTTTGACCTTTGGAGCCCAAACTCAAACCAGCTGGGCACCACCCTTATGGTTGAGCTTGGTAGAAAACAAAACATTGAAGAATGAATCCATAGATTTAGACATCGTTTCTCAACCGTAAATCTAAAAGAATGTAAAAACTCCCTGATATGTTGAATCCCTATGCATAAGTATAAAAAGTCGGTAGCAATCTTCTATCCCTTGTGTTTCCTATACTTTGGTAGCTCCAAAAAGCTACTAAGAACTCCCAAAATTTTCCCCTCAAGAACCCTAAGTCGAATAGGATGTGGATCCCCTTTTTTCCTGGTTGAATTTAGCTTAAAACACGAAACAGTTGCTTAGGAGACTTTCTACGTGAGTTTAGGCGCTTGGAAAGTCGTCCACATCCTTTTGAACACAACTTGTCCTAATTTGCCCATTTTCTTCATAATTAGCCTCCTTCAATGTCGATTTCTTCTATTTCTTTGAATGGTCGATTCCTGTATAACTTGCACTAAACTGTCAAAAATGGTGCTTCGTTTGCTTGGAAACCGGGCAAAACTACAGGGAAAGTGGTACTAGAAATAACACCAAAAATGGCGTTATCATCAACCCCAACTTTGCTTCTCCCCAAGCAAATTAGCAATAAACAAAGATGAAAATATAATAACCGGGTTTTTGGTTATACACTTGAGGTAATATTTATGTGATTATTTGATTATGTGAATATGTGCATATTTATATATGTGAAAGTATGTATGCATGAGATTGTTAATATGCATATGTGTATGCATGTTTTATATGTTAACATGCACAAATGATGAAAGTAAAAATATGCATATATGTATGCCTGACTTGTTATACATGGTTATATGAGGAAATGAGTTTTTAAAATATTTGCTTATCACTGCCTTTAGTGGAAGGGATAAGAGTTATTTTTATAATAATTCTTTCCTAAACTGCCTCTTTTAGAATATAAAAAGGGAGATTTCTTTTGAAGAGGGTTATCTTCAAAATCTAGGAAAGAAAACAGAGTGAGAAAAATGTGTGATTTTCTTCTAAAAATTTAGAAACTAGAAAGTTGGGTTAGAAGTTAAAGAAGTTGATGTTTTTATTACATAAGGTGAGTTTTTGCTTTAAACAATGTACAGTCTTTGAATTTGTAAAGATACGGGTTTTGTGTGATACTAATGTTAATATTGTGTAGTCGTTATATGTTTATTTTATAAGGATTTAAAGGCTGATAAGAACCTGTAGACGGACAGTGTTGTCCGACGAAAGTGTGTCCAAACCATTTGTGACTGAAAAGAGTATTTTTATATCTTTCAAATGAGGTTAAAAATCTGGAAAAGATACTATTGTGATTTTCTTTGAAGACGGTTGTGACATGAGGTCTGTTTTGAAAGAAATGAGATTTCAGTGTTTCTACGGGACGGTTGTGACTTCGGTCTATTCCGGTATGAAACCATTTTATCAATGTTTCTACGGGGCGGCTGTGACTTCGGTCTGTTTCGGTATGAAACCATATTGTCAATGTTTCTACGGGACGGTTGTGACTTCGGTCTGTTCCGGTATGAAACTATTTTATCAATGTTTCTACGGGACGGTTATGACTTTGGTTTGTTTTGGTATGAAACTATTTTGAGGCCATTATTGGCTAAAACTACAGATTTATCAGTAGATTTGAGGAGAAAATAAGGGTAGCATATCAAAAAGAAGGTGTACCATGGGATAAGGGTGGTATATCAAGGAGAGGTGTACCATAGGATAAGGGTGGCATTTGAATAGCTCCTGTCACTATATCAATAAGAAATAATAGCTCTGGGTTCTCTGTGACTTGGGAACTTAGAGATGTTGCTCTTATTGAAATAATGATAGTGATGTTATTGAGAAGGGGAAAACAACATATAGCCAGAGGCATTATTTGCCTATGATTTCAAATGATTTTAATAAAATCAGAGTATTTGGTTTTATAATTAATCAAGAGAAACAAGTATTTGATCGGAACCAGAGGGGCTCTGGTTGGTCTTTAGGACAGACCAGAGGACCTCTAGTCATGTGGAAAATCTTTTAAGTATCTTATAGATATAATACCCTTTAAGAAAGAAAGCTTTTGAATCTAGAGAAAGAAAAGGTTTTAGAAGTGGAAAAGAATTTGAATGATGAAAGGAAAGCTTTTGAGACAGAGAAGAAGAGGGTGGTTGAACTAGAAAGAAAATTTGGAGCTGAACGCATATCTTATGAGAATAAGATAAACTCTCTCGAGCTGAATGCAAAAGTGTTGTTAAAGCAAATATCTGATTTTGAGCAGCTGATCATTTTGGAACGGGCCAAGAATGATAAAGAGAAGAAAGACATCTCAGAAGATTGTCAGAGCCAAATACAGAAGTTATCTGAAAGCATTGCTCTAACGCAGAAGGCTATAGACGAAGAGAAGAAGAAATTTGCTCTTGAAAAGAGATATACTTCAAAGAAGTATACAACTATTGCTAAGGAGCTTGCTAATAAGAAAAAGTGGCTTGACATCGCTTCGGAGAATGATAAGAGCAGCTCAGATGAAGAAAAAAGAGAGTTAATAAATCAGAAGAGAAAGTTTGAAATGCTTCAGAAGGAGTTAGAAGGTAAACTCCTTGACACTACAAAGAAATTGTTTGATTTGAAGACAGACCTTGAAACTGAGTTTAAGATGAGAACAAAACTTAAAAATT